GATGAAATAGATAATGTTTTTGTTAGGTCACAATGTAGTGGATGAAGAGAGTCGTTTGAACTTTTGGAGGAAAATTGGTACAAGCGTCTAGGTGTTTGTTGATGATAAAATCCACAAGGGCTCTCTAGACAATCCGTTGCATTTGGAAATAAACTTTATGGACCGTACAATCAATGTGTAGTCTTTTTGTGTAACCCGGAGAAGATTACAGAAGAACAATAGAGCCAACGTGGCAATGTACATGCAGTCACAAATCCCAGAATCAAATCACGTGGTACTGAAAGTAGTTTAAGTCGAACAGCATAAAATGACAACCGCCGAACCTTAAAGAAGTTTTCGGCAAGGTGAATAAACCAAGATCAGTTTCGGGATAAAAAGACGCCTAGAAATTTAATGATTGATAAGCTGGGTATGAACTGATCACTCACTGCCAATGGGGCAGGGGTGTCCAAAACAACTCCGAGCTTGTCAGGTCGAAGTAACGAGAATGTCAACTCATGACATTTCGAAAGGTTTAGAATCAGGGATCGGGATGAGAACCAAAGCACGAGCTCATCTAGACAATTTTGAAAAGTAGATGTCACATCGGTTGGAGTTACGCATCCCAATACGACAGCATCGGCATACTTGCATTCAATAACGGCAGATTGTGTGGGGAGCTTTTCAATGTATAAGGAAAATAGAACAGGTGAGAGGATGGCATCCTGCAAAACACCGACTAGAGAGCAACCCTGAAGACTTCGCTCCATCAATCTGGGTGAATTGAGTGCGGTTTGTGAAGTGGCCTTTAACCACACCGCAAACATTTGTTGGAACCCCATTTGCAGACAACTGATTGAGCAGGATTTATCTGTCAACCCTACCGAACGCATCTGTATAGTTGAGAAACAGGAGGCGAATTTCCCCGTTTTTTTCATTTAGTGCAGATGCTACAGAAGGCACAAGATAGGACACCGCATCCAGTGTGGAGCGGCCATGTTTGTAAGCGAACTGGTATATATCATTTCGGCCCACATGCTGAGACTGATATTGCATACATGATGCTTCTTCACGGCAGCTGGGATAAACCAACCTACACTTAAACTAGGTCTTTTTAAGATGGGTAAATTTAATCTCACTTTATTAGGTTTGTTCTGTCTAACTGAATAATCTTCTATTACCTTACATCCGTTGCTTACGCTAATTATGGTTACCTTCTTTCACTTTAATGCGTTTGTACCATTCTTTGAGTAATTTATGGACAATTTGTACCTATCGCTAACCAAGTTACCAACTTATTGCTAACCAACTTACTTCATATGCTAATTTAGCGGAGTTATGTCTGCATAGCCGTATGCTTTAACAGATAAATCTTATTTGATAATGTTATCTCAAGTGATTGGCTGTTTCTTGATATCCCCGGTGTGGCTGCGCTTGATGTGCATGTTGACAAGGTGCCTACCTGTCTATTACCAACTACCTCATCCATACTGGCTCCAGGAGACAGTTGGTCGTTGCTGGAGAGGACGGGGTGCACGGTCCTTGTGGCCGTCTTAAGATCAAAGAGTGGTTCCATGCACCCAGTGTGAAGCGGATTATGGTCCAGCCACCGCCTTGTGTGCGCTTGATTCCCCAAATACAGCGTGATTGTGTTTGCCTGTGAAGGAGTGTGGGCCGGTTCCGTTGATGAAACGTGACTCCTATGCACATGCCTCCCGGTCTTATTCCTCCGGGTTTACACTGGCTATGGAGTGTGCGCTTGGAGCTGTGGGTGGTGCAGCACAAGCCACCGATGGTCCCTCTGTAGGCGCAGGCGTCCTGTGGCTGGTCACAGTGACAGGCAAATCCGAAACCGGATGCCGCCAACCATATATCGTTTGCATTGGTGCGTGTGAAAATCTGAGGAGCAAGTAGTTTCTCGAAGACCTTCAACATCATCGATGTACATGCTATTGGACGATACTTTTGGGAGTCCTTTTTTGGAATAGGTGTTGTCTTAACAGGTCTCCAAATGTTAGGGATGGTGCCCTCCATAAGACATCGGTTGAAAATTGCGGTTAGAGTTTCCAGCAAGATAATCTGCACAGCTTTTTAGGACAAGCGATGAGAATGCATCGGGGCCAGTAGTCTTATACATCTTCCATTTTTTGAGTTCACGGCAAACATTAAACCTGTCAAAGATGACTACCTTACCTGTTTTGTCGAAGTGGGGTAATGAATTAAGGCCCTGTTGAGAAGAACAAAATTCAACGTTGCGTTTGTGCACATCCACGTTATCAATGCGCTCCATGGTTAATTCACCTTACCGCGCCATTGCCAAATGGCTGAATAGCATGCTGGAACCCATAATAAAATTCATAACAAAGCACACTGTGCCAAACACTTTCGTACAACTTCCTTGTTTGGAATGCCTAGATTTGACCGGAAAGCGAATGTGTTCTCTTGATGTTTAGTTTCTTTTCAGCAACATCCCTTTGAATGAGACTGTTGATTACTTATATGAATTTATCTCAAGGCATACTGTTCGACTACTACTTCCTACGGAATTGTTGAGGAATATAACTCTTATGCACCCAGAACATCAAGTATTACTTTTTAAGGAAAGCTTATCGACTAATTGATGGTGTGGCGATGGGTAACCCACTAGTTCCCTTATTGGCAAATGCATTCATGTGTATGATTGAAGAAAAGGCAGATAACATTATACGCTCGGCCACTCTATACAAGCGTTATGTTGATGACATATTTCTAACCATGGACTCCGAGGTGAACCTCGCGCATGCGACCGAGACTCTCAACAAAACGCATCCAAACCTTACCGTGACGCGTGACGATGGGCAAGACAATTTCCTTCCGTATCTGGACGTGTTGATTACACGACGGCCAGACGGTTCCATCAAGTCTGTTTAGAGAAAGCCGACTTGGACTGGACAATATTTGCATTTTACGAGTTTCTCTCCCACCCAAAACAAACGCTCTCTTGTCCGGACATTGTTTTATCGGGCCAACATGATTTGCACCCCAGACATCATAGAAGCAGAAACGGACTTGCTATTCAACACGCTGCAATTCAACGGTTATCCGTTGACGTTTATTGAACGTCACTGTAGAACAAACAACCAAGTTCGTACGTTAACAGTCCCAAAAAATCCCATTTTCATTGAGCTACTTTTCAAAGGTGATAATGTGATGAAGGTCACTGAGAAACGCATAAGTGTCTCATGGAAAAGAGCGGAATTGTGGCTGCTCATCTCGATTAGACCTTTGCCAATGTGTTCGTTTAAGCCACCAGTGACAAAGCAGTGCATGTCGCACTGTCTATACAAAGTTCCCTGTGGCTGTGGAGGTAGCTACGTCGAGTGCGCTGACCGAAGTCTAGGTGTCAGAATCAATGTACGCATCCCAAAGTGGTTGCGCAGCCGCATGGGATCTGTGACGACGGAATCAGTTGACTCGGGAAACCATGCTACTTGCTGGCTACTGGTCACCGAGTCAATCCTGATGAGTCGTTCACAGTTTTAATGCGCGATCAGCGGCCCCAAATCCTTAGGCCATTGGTGCCTATCGTTATCGATCGCGAACGACCACTGCTGTGCATTCAGAAGCGGCTGACAGTGGCTCTAAGCCTACTGTGGTAGCACATGTGCATTGCTATCTGTGATCACCGTTGGTTTATGTTCCGATATTGCATGTTTTTGTGATTAATAAGAACGCACCAAATGACGGCGTCATCTACTTTATCATTTGATATGTTGCCCGTTTGCAAGTGAACAGGGGGCACGAAATGATACCATCTTGCAATATGCGTCTTCTTATTGTTCTATTCAAGTTAATACAGGGAACTTAATGCTTCAAATCCATTGTTCTTGAACTGCGAGCACCACACAAAGAGGGGTTAATTGACACAAAAACCATGCAGTAACTCCGCCCTCGTGATTCGAAACTCCCACGATTACCTCAATGGTTAGTTGCCCCACCAGAAACTAGCACAATCGTTAACCAAAGATATTGAGCCTATCAGGTCGAACTTGTCAGTGCATAGTTAAAAAGACACGTTTGAATTCGTTTCCAAGATTCAGACGCTAAATGTGAATGACAAATCATGGTATCTTTCGGCGTATGTTCATTGTTCACAAATGTCACTCTGGAGGAGACATTGAATATCATGGGTTCACATGCGAGTAAGGTGGGTTTTCCAGCACACCGTTTAAAGACCCTACTCCGCATCTGCACCAAGGATATTCAACTTAATTTTGATGGCAAGCTCTGCCGGCAACTCGAAGGCGTAGCGATGGACAGCCTTCTTGGAACTGTTCTAGCTAATATCTCTATGGGCCATCTAGGAAATAACCAATTACCACGAACCATAGAAAAGGCAGTTCCATGCCCGGTATGTGGATGGCACTTTTGTGGTCGTTGCTACTACGTGGAAGGCATGGAGCATGTTGGAAGAATTAGAAAAATGTCATCCAGAGATCAGTTTCAACATGAAAAGAGAGTCGGGGGAGTTGTTTCACTTCTTGGATGTTTCCTTTAAGAGAAGCCCAAATGGATCGCCAATGCCGTCGATTCACTACAAACCCAGTTGGACAGGACAATATCTAAACTTTAACAGTTACACAATTGTCCAATTGTTCTCCGAGCTTGGCGGTTTTGTCGCAAACGTTTCACCACCATGCGAGGTGGCATCCTCAGTGCAGTGATATGTAGTAAGCTTGCACGCTACATATCACTGCACTGAGGATGCCACCTCGCATGGTGGTGAAACGTTTGCGACAAAACCGCCAAGCTCGGAGAACAATTGAACAATTGATTCATCAGCCCGAGCTACCAGTATTTCGAAACATTTAACAGTTACTGTCCAATGAACCATAAGCGATCCTTGGTTCGAACCCGCTTCACGAGAGCGCGCGGAATCTGTTTCTAAGAGCCAACTATGTGATAATGAGTACATTAGTAAAGTTATATCAAGATATGGGATGGCAAATCTCCGAAAGATAAAACAATCTGATATTCCCAAGAAGGTGTTCATCATACTTCCTTTCAAACAGGAACAAACTGATGAGAGGCTCTGTCACCGGCTACGGTAATGCATAAAGACGTTATTACGCAGCTGAGCTAGTGCTACTGCACCGAACCAGAATGTTGCTGTACCAATCCAACTTAAATAAACCCCTCCCTCAGGTCACCGCCTTCTGCGTTTGCTAATCTAACTGCACGTGCGGTAGCATGTACATCGGTAGGACTGAGAGAAGGTTATCTACAAAGGGTATGGAGCATGTTCCGCGAAGCCTAACAATGAGCGGTCCTAAGCTACCTGTCAGCTATATTACTCGACACCTACTCGATTGCAATGCGTGTCAAGACACTCGTAACTCGTTCGTGGTTGACAGTAGCCAGAACAGTCCAATGCTATTTCGGTTTGCCGAGGCTTCCGCAATCCGGCGGCTGAAGTCAGACCTGTGCAATCAAGTTGACATCGTGTCCAGCTTAACCTTGCCATGGTAAGGCATAGGATCAGCCACTGGAAGCGATGACCTCGATAGCCCCAGGTTCAAATTGCTTGCCTTTCTTATTCTATATCACGTGTACTCACTAAATCTTCCCACTGTATGTCTGTAAGCGACTGATTGAGAATGCACGAAATAATCTGAATTCAGTCTATTTCGCGAAATGATGGTTGATTTTGCTACCTTGAACTTTTTCATAGGAACTGGTTGAATGAGATCTAATGATTCGTTCCCAAACGCCACCTCTATGGCTACACATCGGTGGGTTGCAGTGCCACTGTTCGCCGACTCTCAGTAGCCTACCCTTGATCATTGTTTGCGACCATGCGTTTAAGACGGAACAAAGTTCAGCTGCGATTCCGACAAAGTTTCCTCCATTGTCGCTCAATATTTCGGCTGAGGCCCCTCTGCGAGATGCGAATCGCATCGAGGCCATGATGGACGAGTCAATGCTCACTGCGTGGGAAATAATGTGTATAGCTCGTGCTTGTAAGCACGTAAATAGGCAACCATATCGCTTCTCTTGTTTTGCCTATGCTTAACAATAAACGGTCCGAAGTAACTCCCATCAACATACTTTAGGGAGTGCCACCCTCGTTCCACTCTGGCCAGCGGCAACCGCGCCACCAGTTGTTGACCATCAGTGGTAAGTCGTTTCCTATATACCCAACAATTTCCAATCAGCCGTTTCACTGCCGATCTTCCTCCTACGATCCAGTACTTACGGCGTAAGCTTGCCAGCACTCGAGAGCCACCCGAGTAATTCTACAGCAAATGATACAATCTGAACAACAGCCCTGTCACGGCTTGCTTAGAGGCAGTATGGTTGGCGTCATCCGGTTTCGGATTTGCCTGTCACTATGGCCAGCCACAGGACGCCTGCGCCTACAGAGAGAACATGGGTGGCTTGCGCTGCACCACCCACACACCCCATATACAGTGTAAACCCGAAAGAATAAGACCGGGAGGTAGGTGGATGGGAGCCACCTTTCAACAATGGAGCCGGTCCACACTCCTTCAGAGGCGAACACAATCACGCTGTATTTGGGGAATCAAGCGCACACAAGGCGCTGGCTGGACCATAATCCGCTTCACACTGATCCTAACACGGCCACAAGGACCGTGCACCCCGTCCCCTCCAGCAACGACCAACTGTCTCCTGGAGCCAGTATGGAGGAGGTAGTGGGTAAAAGACAGGTAGGCACCTTGTCAACATGCACATTAAGCGCAGCCACACCGAGGATATCAAGCAACTGAAAATCACTTGTGAGAAAGATAACAGAGAAAATAAATCGAGTAATGCATAAGGAAACGGTGACATAAATTTAAAGCACTGAGTTCCCTTTATCATTCTAAATAAGACAATAAGAAGACTGGTATTGCGAGATGGTACCATTTCGTGTTATCTGTTCACTCGCAAACTAACAACAGATAGATGAATCACGTGACAGAAAAAATCGAAGATTTGAAACTGGTCACAAGGGAAAAATTACGTAGACACAACAATGACAGATTAGCATCCTGATCTTAGGGTCATGAGCCCCAAGGAAGCTTCAGGGAGACTGTTAATTGGGACTCATGACCCTAAGATCAGGATGCTAATCTGTCATTGTTGTGTCTACGTAATTTTTCCCTTGTGACCAGTTTCAAATCTTCGATTTTTTCTGTCACGTGATTCATCTATCTGTTGTTAGTTTGCGAGTGAACAGATAACACGAAATGGTACCATCTCGCAATACCAGTCTTCTTATTGTCTTATTTAGGGTGACATAAATGTTAAATTAATGAGCATATGAAATAAGTTGTCTACAAACGAATCCAGGATAAGTTCACGAGGCCGGAAAGTATGTTTTACGGAAATGGCACAAACACGAAAATGTTATCGAAATTGACTACCATTGGCTTCAGCGACCTGTACAAGTTTATAGAAGATAGGTAGGCATTTATATGCGAAAGGAAAGCATGAGGACAAAATTGCAAACCCACCACCTGAAATAACGAGATCCAGCATGCAAGCACGCGGTTAGTAACTCGAATGCAGAGTGCCTACAAACGCTACACCGGTTCTGCCTACGTTCTCTGCAGGACCCGTCGTCTCTTCGGTAATGGTCCCGAGTGGCCTCGCTCATGGATCACTAGGCCTGCCTGACACAGGCACTCGCGACCGCATGTGCTACAGCATCATGCGCTCGATGTCGATGGAGTACAACCCATCGGTGCTTGCCGCTTCCGCACTTGCAACCTCTTCTCTGCATGTATGAGGTCTTTCTCCCGCACTTCAGCCACTGCTTTCGTGATTAGATCGCGCCATGCACGCCGATCGACGGCCCTCGATTCCCATGATCTGCAATCAAGATTAGAACGGGAAGCCTCACTTTGATCATGTCCTGGAAACGTAACTTTGGTTTCCCACATACCTCTTCCCAATACTCAGCTGATCGTATAAGAGTTGTTTCGGTATCCGCGTCGAACCCATACGGCTCACATGCCCGAGCCACCTCAGTTGTCTCAGCAAAAGTATGCAGTCCACTGCATACACTCCACTTTGTCGCAACACTTCCGTGTCCGCAACTCTCTCGCCCCAACCGATGCTCAAAATTCGTCGCAAACACTGCTGATGGAACCGCTCGAGATATCTCACATCCCGCCGGTACATTGTCCATGTTTCACTGCCGTATAGAAGAACGGACAGCACCATGGATTTGTACACCATCAGCTTCGTGCCAATGGTAAGCTGATGGTTGTTCCACCCTCGGTACTCTATCTTCCCGAATGCCGCCGCTGTGTTCGACACGCGAATACACAACTCAACGTGTAGCTGCTGGTCAGTCGACATCACACTCCCAAGATAGCAGAAGCGGGAGGTGGTTTCCAATACTTCAGCACCAATGCTGATTCGCGGCAATATTGCAGATTACACCTCCGGTGAAGGCTGAAAGACACAGACAGTTTTGCTTGTGTTGATGGTGAGCCCGAATTTGGCCGCTGTCGAAGCCAGAGCACTAGTCATATGCTGCAAATCATCCGCGCTGTGTGCAAACAACGCACAGTCGTCAGCAAACAGCAACATAGGGTAGTATAATCGGGAGTTTAAACGCAGCGTCGTATTCCGAGTAGGTTAAATGACCGCCTAGACAATTTAATCCACCACATACTATTGGGCGAAGTCGAGCCGATGGAACTTTCCGTTTTTCTTGCAAATGAGATGATGAGCCTTAAGTTGTATTTTCGAGTCGTTCTAGTTTAGCTGCTTAAACGTTTCGCTGGGGATTCAAATGATGACATACTCTGCTCTGTTGAGTTCACAGAGCTTAATCAACTGGTTATCCTGCAGGCCACCATTAGTCCCACGTTTGAGAGCGTTCAGGTACTTCTTGAATCGAGATATCCACACTCACGCCTTTAATAAATTAATACAATACGAATACCCATGATTCAATGGGGACAATGCCGTCTCTCTTAATGTCGCGTAAACTCGAAACCCTGAATGCTTCAGCTCGACATCAGCCGGTTCAGAATTGGAAAAGAAGTCGAGCCAAGCATTATCGTCTGTCATCAAGTAGTTTTACGCGAGGAGCCAGTTCTTCAAGGAGGTTGGAGATTAGGCCCCTCGACAGTAAGTCTACGGGATTGCAATCAGCTCTTAATTGTTTCCACTGGGTGGGTGTCGACATCTCATGGATGACTGATAGTCGTTTTGCAATAAAGGTGCTGAATATTTTAGTTTTATCATTTATATGATACAAAAGTGTGGTAGATTCTGTCTAGAACCTGACTTTTTCGAAACGCAGCCGAGCTCTTTTGGTAACGTTCTCAAACAATATGGTAGTAAGCCAGGCCGCAGATAGTTCCAACCGTCGAACAAACACCGTCTTTACTGGGATACTCTGGACTTTGCATATAACAGAGAGCAGTGTGCGATGCCTTCCGCTCGAAACCTAACATAAGCTACAGCACTATATCCAACCTCTGAACCATCATAAAAGATGTGGTTGTAGTAGATCTCCAGGCTCGCCGAATTTGCGAATCCATCTGGGAATCTTCGGAACATTGAGCGTTTTTGTGTCCGTTAACCACCTAGTCAAAGTTTCTTCGGGTTCACCTGCCATCAGGTCGTCCCAACCCAATTTTTCTTGTCACAGCCTTTGTAGTACTAATTTCACAGGCAAAACTAAAGGGACGGTTCACCCTAATGTGTCATCAATGGAAGATATTGCAGACAATATGCCTCTTCATGTGTCTGCTCTCTGGTAAGACGAATTGATAGACAAAGGTATCTTCGCGGGAATCCCAAGCTACATCCAGCGTCCGCCTGATCGATCCAGGTAATTCGGCTCTCGGCTTAATTGACTCAGCTACCTATGATAAGGCGAACATTTTATACACCTTGTGGTTGCAGCCTCATTTGCACAGCCCGCACCCACCCTTATTTAACATTCCCCTGATTCGCGCCACAAACTACATCGCTTTCACTACAGTTAGTAGTGAGAGTACGAGGTCATCGACGTAGAAGT